AAAGCACTTTTATAAAATTTTTTTGAAGCTGTGGGTTAGGACCTAACAGTGTTTTACAGGATGTCTTAGTGGCTCACACAGGGAAAAAAATAACCAGGTGAGATGCAGATTTTTCTTTTATCTTTTTACCTCTGAGGCACTCAGGATCACGGTTCACAGAACAATATTTTGTTCTGATAAATGAAATTTGTGTACTCTCTGGAGAGATCTAATTATTAACCGTGGCCATCACCGAAACCCAGTCTGCCTTATGAATTATACCTGCATTGTACTGTACAAAATCCACGAGTTTCGTTAGCATGCAGCCTTCCACGCTGATTAACCCAGGGAAAAGAAGACAAACCGTGAATTTCTTGTCGGTAACACACGAAGCACAAGAGGCGGAGGGAGGGGAAGCGCGATGCCACGCTGCCACCTACTGTCACCCGGCGGACTGCCCTTTCATCCCTGAAATAAATATTGGACAGGAGGGCCAGGAGAACATCAGCGAGGGACCCCGAGAGCCACAGGTGTTAGCCGGTTCTGGGATTCCAAAGGCGGCCTCGGGGCCCTTCCCCGGGCCCTTTGCAGGCGGTGATTCCCGTGTGCCGGAGGCTCAGCGGCGCAGCGGCTCCGCCGGCCCGCTCCCAGGCTGTTCCTCTGCATCCCAAACACTGGCACTCAGCGCTTACAGCAAACACTAACAAATAGGAGCTCTTTTAGGATGTTTATGTAACAACGTAGTAGACAAAAGTTTTAAAAATCACAGTGTGGTTTTTACCTGTAGTGAATGTGGCAGGTAGGAATAGAGTCCTTAAGCAGCCCGGAGCTAGATCATTATCTGCAGAGTACAGAAAGGGCCTTGACAAAAGGCACAATGTGACTGTCCAGTACAAATTCCTTGAACAAAAGGCACAATGTGACTGTCCAGTACAAATTCGTCCTTGCCAGCACTCCATTGGACAGCCAAGTCCAGACTCTCCCTCTGCAATGCTTAGGAAGTTTCCACACACTGTTATGTAAGCAGTACAGGACTCCCAAGCTGCTGGAGACCCACCTATTCCCACGTTCTCAGGCACACGAAGTCCTCCAAGGAGCTTTCTTTTCACTTGTCATTTGCTGTAAAAACTGATAACATTTATCAACAGCAATGGAATACAAAAGCTCTAAAAAGTACACATTCTCTGCTGCCATGAATAATCTAACAAATTGGCTGAGCTCAATGGGAAACCTCGGCGTGTTTGCTTAGGCTCACTTGAAGTGCAAATAGTCACAAGTATTCGTGACAGAGGGTTTTATTTTTTATGAAACAAACAGGCTGAAATGCATTATATTGCACTCAGTCTGAAGAAAAATGTATTCTGCTAGCATTGGGTTGGCAGATTTTTGCATGTAAAAATACCCTAATCCCTGTTTAAATTAAAACTTTGGAACTTTGGGTACAAAAAAATGAATTATTACAGTAAAATAACCTGGATTTTTTTTGTGAGGTTTTTATATTGTTTTACTCTTTTCCCACAATTAAGGCTATGAATAAGCTTTTAATAAAAAACTCTCAGTGTTGTTTCTGAGATGGTGATGGGGTTCTTTACAAACCTTTCGAACTGAAGAGACTGAACTCTGGGACATGGTGGTTCATAAGAGGACAAGTTCTTCAGCTCGATCAATTGAAGGAGTGGCAGCTTTGTAATAAACCTCCAGATTGTATGCCTCCAGCAAGGACAAATTAAAAGAAAAGGCAAACACGACTGTCACATCAGAACCATCTCCCATTACCTCAGACCTTTCCAAATACCAACATCTCCAAAAGCAGTTATTCTATTTCTGAGCTGTAAATCCAGCCAAAAATTTTTTATGAATTAAACCTGGATTTTGAAAAGGTAATGTCTGAGAAAGTTTCATTTGAATAGTATTTACAAGATGTACAATTTATATATATTGCAGCCATAAAATGCACACAGTGCTTCTTAAGTATGATTTACAATAGAAATTTCTGCCTCTAATTTAAATGTTTTGTATAGTTTTTACTGGATTTTAAAATTTCTGTATAAGAAAACATAACATGTAAAAATAGGAATGTTTTTATGTTGTGCTCAGATAGGCACTACCTTTATTGAGATTTTTCTGAAAGCGACATTCAATGCTGGTAGGATTCGTGTGCATATATAACCCATATCTGCTGCTGTTTTGAAACCTGGAAATTTCAAATTTTCTTCCAGGATCAACAACAATTAAACTAACTTAAGAACATGAAATTTATTTTTTTTTTAGTACTGTGACAGAACAATGTTAATTTAGATGATGTTTCTGCATGTGTTATTTTCATTTGCTGTATAGAAGACAAAGCTTACTGAGGTGACAGCTTGCTTATGATACTGTGTTATTCAAGATAACAAGAAGGGACCTGACTGAAAAACTACAGAAGGACATTATGGAATTGAGTGATGGGCAAATGCAGCAATGAAATTCAATGCAGATAAACATCAAAGAATATGCATAAGAAAAAATATCTTAATTTCACACATTGAATGACAAACTTTGAACTGACCATCACTCAAGAATAAGATCTCAGAGTTATGGCAGATTTTTCCACAGAAATGCCAGCCCAGTGTTCAGCAATGGCAATCAAATGCCAGACAGTTCACAAAAGAGCAGGAAGATGGAAAAGCTTTCATGTCAGGGATGGCTGCGTAGTCCTGGGAAAGACAACTGGAGAGCATTCTATGCAACAGTGGCCTAGATGAGGGCAGGTTGTTTGTTGTCCCTTCCAGTACAAGGACTGGGGACATCAAGTGACAATATCGGAATCAGGTTCAAAGAAAAAAAAAGGAAAAAAAAGACGGTGTTTTTCAGACCAAAGGTTATTTGAGCTCTAGAAGTACTTGCCAAAGGATATTGTGCACAATGAAAATTTAAATGGGTCAATGAGACACTGAACAAGAGAGATCAGCTTTATTTCCTTATCCTTGTTTAAAGATTTCCTAATGCATCTTTTTTTATGTTCTGCCTTTCTTGTTTTCATCGGACCGTGACATTTTACTTAAAACATTCTCATAAATGCCATAGAATTTATTTCCAAGCAGGAGACCGACAGAATGGCAGGCTAAATAAATACGTCTTTCTGTAATTATCCTAATTTCTAATGGCTCCATCATATTGTTTGGGAAAAATGTTGATAGCTGTTCTGTGAGACCTTGATTGTAAGGAATGTGTCCTTAACTCGACAAACTGTTTATTCACAAGTCAGCAGAAGATACTATTATTATAAATAAAAGATAAATGTGGAAACATTTGCAAGAATGTAATTGCCAAGTGGCTTCTAACAAATTTAACAGCATGCCTTAGGCATAATTAATAAGAGCTGTCTATATCTGCGTAAAATTAGTGTTGTGTAGCAGTTATTGTGGCTGAACACTGCGAACTTTCTTCCCCGGTTTTGCAGGTTGTGCCGTGCTTAGACAGGAGTGGTGAGAATAAGCGGAGACGCGATTACATCCGATCGGGCCCAACTCCTTTATAACTAAAACAAAAAAACCCAAAAGTCAGAAGGAACCACACCCCGCAGGACAGCGCGCGCCCCCTCAGCGCCGGCCTCGGCCGCGATTGGCTCGGAGAGGGCCCCCGCGTCACGTGACCGCCGGCGCGCTCCTTATAGACGCGCGCCGGGCGCGAGAAGGTGGCTGTGTGTGCGGGCGCGCGCCGCGGGGTCCGTGCGGGAGCGGCCGCGGGTGAGCGGGGCCGGCGGGAGAGGGAGAGGGGCGGGAAGGACGAGGAGGGGCTGCTCTCCGTCTCGGTTGAGCCGCCGCCACCGGCGGCGGGTTGGGGCCGCGAGGTTCCGTGGCCGAGTTTGGGAGTTGGCGGGCTCCTGCCTCGCCGTTCCCCATTGGCCGCGGCGGCGCGCGGGGAGGGAGGAGCCCCGCGAGCGCCTGGCGGGAGCGGGGCCGCGTGGGTGGTGCGGGTGAGTGCCCGGTTCCCCACAGCCATCCCGGGACACTCCCGCCAGCCCTGCGAGCTCGCCTGCTGGGAGCTGGGCCGGGGTGAGTGCCCGGTTCCCCACAGCCATCCCGGGTGTGCTCCCGGGACACCCCCGCCGGCCTGCGGGAAGGCCGCTCCGCGCTGGGCGCTGCCTTCCTGCCGCTCGTGGCTGGGGTGCAGCCTCGGGAGGGGCGCTGGAGGGGCCCGCTGACCGCGCCGTGCGTGGCTGGCTGCTTAAGGCAGCCGTGAAAGCTGATAATCCTACCGAAATGGTAATGGTCTCTAACTAGTGCTGCCCGAACTTCAGGAGTAGAGGGGTGCTGTATTAATTTTCGTGTTTTTTTCTATTGCAGTTGATCTCATGAATTCCAAAATGAAACAGAAACTGACCACAGAAAAGTCCTCAGGAACTTTGCAGGTATAGGCTTTAAAGGCTTGAAGCTAGCACCTCTCTGTGTGACAAGCTTCTCTGTCCACTGAAGGAATATAAAGGGATCTGTTGCAATGTGCTTCCACCTGGCTTATGTCCATTTGGCTTGAGTAACCTCCTGGCAGACATTGTGGCTTGGGAACATGCTGTCCTGCTTGGGTATATGTGCTTATGACTACTTTTTTCCCTATTGCTCAGCAAGTCCTTTTTATTTTGACACTGAGCTTACTGTCTCTCCGTTTAATTTTTCAGGGTTGGTTTGGTTTGTTTGTCCTGACTGTGTGTCTTTGCTTACTGAATCTGTCTGGCTTATGCTTAGGATTTGTAGGTTGGGTTTTGTAGTGTGTTCTTTATGGGTGGGAACTTCTGAAGAGTTCCATCTGTCTTGTGTTGGACGTGATTTAACTGGAGTATTCAAGCAGGCAGTTCACTTTCTACAGTCACCTTTGTGAATAATAGTTGCCTTGGAATTGGTGGAAATGCTTAAACGATTTAGGTTTTTAAGAGTTAACTGATTAGGTGCAAACCTTAGTAACTTTTCTTGGCAAGTCTTTTAATGTAGGCCCCAATCAGAATGGTACAAAAGTATATAAAATAGAGGCTAGTAGTTTTTGTATGATGAGACCTAGTGACTGGAATGGAAGCTGCAGGTATTAATGAAAATTGCCAACTGATAGGTCTGACTTATGGCACTCTTGTCCCATAGTGTCTCTAGGGTATAAATTGCTCAGTGTGGCTTTTTGCACTTGCAGTGGGTTAACTTGAGTATTGGCCAGTAATTTCTTGGCAGAGTGTACTTAACTCTAATCCTAAGTAACAGCAAGCAGTGTCTGACACACGGTGTGATTCTTGTTCCCACAGCAGTTAATGTTTGTCCTTTAGTGGAACAGTAGGATAATTGGTGGCAGAAACTACCGTGGGAAATGCGAGCTCTTGTCCTATGAAGCACGGTGTGAATCGGTGACTTTCTCACGCCCGTGTGGCATTGTATCCTGGCTGTTCTTGCTTGGTCGTCTGCCATTGTTTGCTGTCCCATGGTGGCAGTGTAACCAACCCAATCAGAAAGCTTTGATGCAGGAAAGAGGCATTTATGCATGATAGCAAGGGTGATAAACATACTGGTTAGACAAAACAATAGCCTGTCTGGATCGAAGCAAGGAAATTTTTGATCCATTTTAATGTATAATCAAAGTAACACATCTGTTTAAATGAACACTCTTTGATGGTGTGTCAGCAAGTCACAAAAACAGCTGCTGCCTGATGTGCCCTTGCCACCTAACCTTGCAACTGCAATCACTTTTGTCCCTGTCCCCAAGGGTCTGAGACTGCTGCTCTCAAACTCAAGTTTGAGAGGTCCAGCTAAAGGCCTTGAAATCTAATCAGAGTATTTCTGCTGAAGTTGTTTTATGAAAGGTAAATGTTTCCTAAGAGGCAGGGATTGATCATAGCTTCGTGTGATTAAGATCGATCTCTATTAGAAATAATTAGATCCCCTTCCTTACAAAAGCCTTAATATAGGCTACAGTGGGGTTTTTTTTTGAGAAGAAGAATTATGTGTTACCTTAATGGAAGCATGATGGATTCCTAATTTTCAGTTTATGTAAAAAAGAGTGGCTAGTGTCTGACCCATTTTTGTCTTTTCAGAAGTACCTCACAGAGAGCACATGCAGTGCTGCCCAAAGACCAACTCTTAAAATGATCCAGCCTTCAGCAGCCGGTAGCCTGGTGGGCAGACGTAATGAGGTATAAACTAAAAGATAATCTGTAGATATAGAATTATTTCTGGACATAGGGAAATGCTTCTGTGCTGTTAACTGAAAACTAATATATTTGAAAAAATTAAATGTGCTAACTAGAGTGATGCAAGCTTACTATTGTTCTACTAATAAACAGTATTAAAACCCAGCAATTTCTGAGTTCTTTGGGTATTAAGGAAGATGTCTAAACTAGAGCTATAATGTGAAGAAATCAGGACTTAGAGACTTACTTGCAGTCATGAGTGTGCAGGCTTAGAAGTTTGTATTTTTGTGTAGGCTGAGATGTTCCTCTAAACTTGAACCTGCCCATGTTTTATGCAGAAGAAATCTTCAGTCAGAAGGAAACTCTGGAATAACAAAGTTGCCTCAAAGGCTTGTAAAGCTGAGGTGTCTGTGGACAAAGAGCAAGAGAATGAGAATGATGTCATTCAAGCTGAAGATCTCATGATGAAAGGTATGTGGTAATTCCTGAAATGTTTTCTTGCACTTTAAATGCTATGCTGCTGTTGGAGTGCTACTTGAAGCATATTTCCTTTGTCATTTAGACAAGGGCTTTGTGGGTTTTTCATAATGTCTAGCAGGAGTTGATGATACTTATCCTCTATATTAAATAAAGTATAGATGTCTAGTGTTTAAGAAGGAGTTCATGATAACCAGAAGCTGAGAAGCATTGTGTGCAGCAGTGTTAAGGAGTCTTGTAGTTTGTTATTTTGGCTGGGCTGTAAGTTTTCCAGTGACTAATAATTAAGTTGAAATGAAAGCCTGTTTTGCCACAGCGTCTTGTGTGCGCAGTTTCTCAGAGCCATTATGCCCAGTGTGGACAGTGACTTGGAAGTAACACTTCTGTCTTCCACAACGTGCACATTCAGAGCAGCACTGGCAAACGTGGCCATCTTGCAGAGCCTCCTGCCATCCTTGAGGCAGCTCCTGAAGGCATTGTACAGCCATTAATGCAGTGTAGGATCTGTTTCCTGTAAACTTGGGTCACTAATTGTAGTTGTACAACTAAGCTTTGAAAACACTATACAGAGTGAGTTTTTAGTATTGCAGCTCACAGAATACTTTTATACAAGTTAAATATCTCAAAGTGCTCTTAAGAAATCGGACTTACTGTAGCCTCTAACTTCAGGAGATCCTTCATCTCAGTATTGGAAAGAAGTGGCTGAAGAAAGGAGGAAGGCTCTGTATGAAGTGCTTCAAGAAAATGAAAAGGTAGCTAATCAAAGATGCCTAACTGCTAAAGTTACCTGGCTCTTGTCTTCCTCTTCTAACATGTTGTTATTTGAACTCAGTTGCACAAAGAAATCGAGCAGAAGGATGGTGAAATTGCCCGCCTAAAAGAAGAAAATGAAGAGCTCATGTCCCTCGCTGAGCATGTGCATTATATGACCAGCGTGATTGAGGTACTTAAAGCAATTTTCAGTTAATGTTGTAGAACAAAAAAGTGACAAACCAGCCAAGGTATTTATAATGAATCGTGACTTCTTAATGTGCTCACATGATTCTTCATTTTAAATTGCTCTGACCTGTTTCCTGCAGAATTGCTCTAATTCTAGTGTCATAAAGCTCCTTCTAGGATAGGAATTTTTCCCATCTTAGAACCTATAGGAATAATGAGAGTACTAAGATAGTAGGTTGAATCTCTCCTTCTGAAAACATCTCTCTTAACAGAATGCATGTTGGAGATTGTGATAAGGGAAGGAAGAGTTGATTTTGCACTTTTTTGGGATGACTTAAATTCATGTCCCTCATAGGTTGGTACTGGCTGTGTCCTTTGAGAAACTAAACTTGAAACAGAGTCACAAAGTAGAATGGTGAGAGGGAGCACTGTGCTCTCTAAGGTCAAGATTTTCTTGTCAAGGCACAGTGCCAGTTTCACTGCCCAAAAAGGGCTGCATGCAGTCTCTAGGGTTCATAAACTCATAAATTTCCCAACAGCTCCCTCTGAGAATTCCTTGGGGCAAGTAGTTCCACTAATTCCATGGCTCCTTTAGCAGGAGTGGATTGTTTGTAAGAGCCTCTGAAGCTGTGATAAATACATAGATAGGTATGGAACCTTGATGTTGTGGCTTTCAGGTTGTTTTTGCAGAGATTAAGCTCTCATTAAGCTGGGATATGAAGCTGGGTGCCTGGCAAATACTTTGAGTCTGTAATGACTAGACTGGGAGGTGGAAACAAAATGAAATATTATTGCAAGTAACTTGTTTAATCAAGAACTGGACTTCATCAAGAATTAGACAACACAAGTTAGTTTCAGTTAGTGCAGTTTAGATCAGCCATGAAAGACTGTTTTGCTACACTTGATTTTTTTTGGTACTTGGGGAGTACTGCTTGTTAGTGATATGTCCATGGGCAGAAATTACATTATTTGAGGGCTTGAGCTAAAGTACTTTGAAACTTCTCTACAGTTTCTCAAGAGTTATGATCACTTATTAGTTGTAAGCTACTCCCTCCTGAGGCTTCAGTGAGCCTTAAAGGATACATCAAACAACCAGAAGCTTCAAAACCAGTTTCTTTACAGTCCTGTTTATCTTCCTTACCTCAGGTTAGGTGAGGAACTTCTAGGTTGATCAAGTGCTAGAGACTGCTGAGTCTTAAAGCTCATCTCAGCTTAATGTGGTTTCATCATCTCTAACTAAAAATGGAGTAAATTGGTTGTACAATATTTTTTTCTAAAATTAAATCTGTAGGGTGCTATAGTAAATACTTAACTTGGGAACCAGTTCCCCATGTTTTAGGTTGCTTGAGATGAAACCTGTCCTACTGAAGAACCTGAGAAACTGAACAAAGCAAATGTGGTTTGCAAGTTAAGAGGTAGTAATTTGAGTTGAACTTGTGTCTTAAGATTTTTGTAACTGAGGAATGTTTTCATTATTTCAACGACCTCCAAGGTGATTAGTTTGCTTAATTTAATATGCAGAGTCTTATTTCACTATTTCATAGTTAAGTAGAAAAAAATATTAAATTCACTGTCTTCTGTTCCTTTGTAGAGGCTAACTGGGCAAGCACCTGACAGTCTTGAGACACTGGAGAGTCTGGCTCTAGAGGAATCCAGACAGGAAAATGAAGAGCATAACTGTGGAGACAAGGCAGACAGTCCTTCTGAAGAGGAGCCATCACAAGTATTGTCTGGTTTAAGGGAGAATAGATCAGATCCTCCTTCAAAGGAAACAAGCCATTTGCAACTGGAATGACAACCTTTAAATAGGCTTATATATGTGGCTTTTAATTGCAGACTTCCTCTTGAAAGGATATATTAAACCTCAGGTATAGAAACTCTTGTGGGAACATTACAGATGTTGACATTTTTAACTGGAATTATGTAGCAGTGGGAGGGGTATCTGAATAATGCATGGAAAATTTACTGCAGGCTGCATGTAGTTGCTTGTATGAAGCACAAATACTGTGTATTTCAACTGTTGTGTAAATATCTTTATCAGTTGGTCTGACATGATGCATGGAAATTGATAAATAAATCTTTGAATTACCAAAATAATGTCTTAATTGACAGGGGAATGGTTAATCCTTGGTTTAAATCAGTTATGACTCCTGTAGTAGAAACTGTAGAAACTTTCAAATTTTTTGGGGGAATGCCTGGGCAGTTTTTAGGGTTTTTTTAGGTTTGCAGAATTCTGGAGAACAAAATTACTTTTTTTTTGTGGATAGAGAGTGGAAGAAAAAGCAAGAATGTATGTGCTGTTGGTGAGGTGTCAAAAAATCTTACTGGGTAATTAGAGTAAAAATCTAAAGGTCGGTTAGATTTATGATTTTTAAGTTTTTTTTTTAATTAATTTTCTCTGCCTTCTAAGGAAGCATTTTGCAAGCTGTGTAAGGAGAGTTTAACTAATTGGTTTATGAAGAGAAGGTGGTGTATTCTTAGTCCCAGTAGCAGCTGCGCTGGAAACTAGGTGGAAACAAAACAGCCTATACTTCAGAGCTATTCTGAATGGAAACTGTTTTCAAGGTACTGCTCTGATATTTACCAAGAGATGAGAAACCCTTTTACCAAGGTGCTTAGGTTCTGAAAGGTTTACAGGAATAGAAAGTAGTCTTTAAAACCTTGAGCACCCTGCATGGGCCATGATGGAACAGGAGAGTAAGTTGGATACAGATTTTCCAGTAATGAGTGAACTCGGGGCAGTTCTGTAACAAGGCTTTAACAATGGGGGCTGTTGCCGTATCTTGGGAGGAGCTTAAAGCTGAGTGGCTTTCGGGAGGCAGAAGTGAATAGAGGCATCCTGGTTTGTGGATCTCTGGCCTTACCGAAGATGGTTGCTTCAGGGTATGTGTGAATGACTCTGGAGCTATCAGATTGGCACCTTTATATTCCTTCTGTTTTACTTCCTGTGGCTGTTGATAAATTAACAGATGTTTTACAACTGATTTCAGTTGTGACATCCAGGAAATGGCAGAAGCCATTGTAGAAGATAATACTCCTGGCTGCCATTTTACCTCAAGCATGCTAAAAGAGGCATCACAATGGAAAAAGAGGCATCACAATATCTTGTGGATTTTGTAAGCACAAGATTTTATCTTCCGACATGTGCTCCAGGGGGTGCTTAGACATATTTCTTTCCATCACAGGATGAAAAGGTGAGGAAGGTGTGTCCTCTATCTTGCACTGATGCTGTCTTGAAGAAACAAAACTGGGTGCTGGGCAAATGTTTTGTAGAGTAACCTTGGCTTTCTGTTAAGGAGAAGTGGATAATGGTTGTCAAGTGATTTAGACCTCACCTATCTCACATTCTAAGCAACTTTCTTAACAAAGTAGTTCCAACATTACTAAAAGGAAACAAATTTCATTTTGATACAATTGTTTTTTGCAGTTCTTAGTTATTGATTGTTAACTGAAATTTTTTTAGAGGTGGCTTTATTTTTAAACATCAGGCATACTGTATTTGCAGAGGCTGTAGAAGGGAAGGACGGACTGTGGCATGACTAGCAGACCAAAGTGAGACAGCAAGTGCAACCTTTCCACTATTTCACTTCCTGCTGTGTGAACTGCTGTAGTACAGGTGCTGCTGTTGGAACAGAACTGCCAGAAAGAGACAATCCAGAATTTGTGTGCAGTATCTGCATCTGTGTTTCTTACCTTCAGGTTGATCAAGAAGAATGATTATTAGGTTTAGATATTATGCCTTTTCTGGATTGATTTTATTTAAATAAAAGATGTGACAGTCCCTTCATGTGCTGGATCCTTCTGTTGAAATAGACTGTGTACAAATAAATAATGGAAGTTCTGCAAGTAGGCTCATGGATGTATTGCAGCATTTGGTGCACCTGTAACAGAAAATTTTTACATCAAAAAGGAATGTGCCACTTAGTAATACATACTGATGTTTTAAACCAAGACTACTATGTTTTTATTAAGTGCAGTTTGTTAGCAGAGTGCAACCTTTCCACTATTTCACTTCCTGCTGTGTGAACTGCTGTAGTACAGGTGCTGCTGTTGGAACAGAACTGCCAGAAAGAGACAATCCAGAATTTGTGTGCAGTATCTGCATCTGTGTTTCTTACCTTCAGGCTGATCAAGAAGAATGCTTATTAGGTTTAGATATTATGCCTTTTCTGGATTGATTTTATTTAAATAAAAGATGTGACAGTCCCTTCATGTGCTGGATCCTTCTGTTGAAATAGACTGTGTACAAATAAATAATGGAAGTTCTGCAAGTAGGCTGATGGATGTATTGCAGCATTTGGCCCACCTGTAATAGGGAAAATTTTTACATCGAAAAGGAATGTGCCACTTAGTAATACACACTGATGTTTTAAACCAAGACTACTATGTTTTTATTAAGTGCTGTTTGTTAGCAGAGTGGATAGCTTGCGTTTTAAACCAAGACTACTATGTTTTTATTAAGTGCAGTTTGTTAGCAGAGTGGATAGTTTGTATCAACTGATAAAAATCTGTGATGCCTGAGAAGGGAGGAGTGAGAGCTGAACTGGCACAGTAATAAAACCTATACACATGCTTTATCACAGATGCATTGAACCTCGACCAAACACTGCCTATACCTATTGTATCAGACATTAATGTATGGAAATGTTCTCCTCAGCAGTTTGAGGATGCTGCAATACTTGCTGTTTAAAAATGTTCTAAAAGGATTGAGGTTGTTTATTGTTCTGAAACTTCTTGAGTGCTTTTTTGAATATGCATGCAGTAGCACTGTGCTACATATTAAGTCTAGGAACTTGGTATTTATGTGCTCACAGCTTGTCAAATGTGTAGAAATTATACAGAGATTTGTTTGTGATTAGTTCTCTTAAAACGATCTGACATTTTAAGTGTCTAGGGAAACTTATCACTGGAAGATGGCTATGTAGCAGCTGTAAAGCAGCATCACTGAAGACAGCCTTTATATCCAGCTAAGTTGTAGAGAGAACACTCTGGCACAATAAAAGTATCAGTTCTGGAATCTACTACAGGATGTGCTTCTTTCCAAGAAGTCAACTGCATTTGTGCCACCAGCATGTTGACTCCTTTCACTGCAGAGGGTACAGACACAATCTTGTCTTTCTCTAAAGCAAGCTCAGGCTGTGTGGAAGTGGGATGTATCTACAGTGTCCTAGCTCTTCTCCCATAAAATGTGCATGTCTGAACAGGCCTGAATTTCCCCCATGCAAGAGCAAAGTGTGGGGAGGTGGATCATTTGCAGGTTTCAGATGTTTCAAGAATAAACAGCTGTGCAGGGACACGCAAACCATGGGGCAGGTGGATTGTTTGTGTGAGGAAGAACTCATAACTGGTTTACACTAAAAATTGTTATTTTTGCTAACCACCCGCTGTACTTAAGACAATGTGTGAAGAAATTAATTAGACCATAATAACTCCTTGTTTGGGCAGCTGAAACTCACTTGGTTTTTGGCATGGGATTGCTTATGTGAGGGCCTGCAGCATTGTCTGGTGCTGTAGCTTATGGTGTGGCCTCTGCATAAGTAATGAAGTTAGTCATAGGTTATTTTTTGTTAAGAACATGTGATGCATATTCATTTACTTTTCCTCAAGGGCCATCTCAGGTTGTTTTCAGAACTGTATTTAAGAATTTATTAAGATGTGCAAACTTTGCCAAAGCTGTGCTTTTCCAGCACTCCAGTTGCTCTTAAGACTGAGTTGTATTGTCATCAGTGTTTTTTTTCTAACAGAAAATGTTTATTATGTTATTCATTTATCTTTCCTTTCTTGTGATAACACAAAGCAGTTTAGCAACTGATAATGGCATTTTAAGGAACCTTAATTTGCTGCTGTTTTTGACCTGCTGGCAAATGCCTGTAATGAAATGTGATCTGTTGAGAGGACACATCTATCCTACCCCGGGGACACTGCAGCCATTTGAAGCTGGGTGCTGGGGATCCTCTGCTCAGGACAATCCCACTGTAAAGCAGGGAGCCGTACTTAAGATACAGGGTCTGGCAGTTGTTGGCTCCTAATTTTGAAGTCCACATTATTCATAAGCATGATTTATGAAGTATAAATTATAAAGTATATATCACAGACTGCAGGACAGGGTGGAGCTATAGAGGATAGCTTTTCTGAATGTCTGATGGATAAAACAAACAGCCTTGCCAGTAGCAGTGTGAAACTGAGCAGCCTAACATGCTGCTGCTGTAGCTATAGTAGCATAGGGGTGCTACAGCTTTCTATTTATGGGGCTGAATGCTGAGACAGTGACAGCATGGCAGGGGTAGTAAAAACCCCCACAGCATAAGGTAAGTATACCCTTTCCCAAGTGCACTTCTAGCGAGCTGCCCATCTCTTCCATCTGCACTGCTGCTGAGCTCCTTTGGTATGGGAGCTTTTTCCTAACATACTTTCCTGGGGTGGCCCTGACCTTTGAATTTGTCCAAGTAATTTGTTGCAGCCCTAAGAGCTTTTGTAATTACTGCCTGCCTGCAACTTTACTAGTTGGTAAGCACAAGCCTTGTGATGCTCACCTCTGTGCATCTGGTTTTTCCTACTCCACCAAGGAGTGTGTTAATGTGCCAGGAAAAGGCAGCATTGTCAGCTCTGCAAGCATAAAAATGTACAGGCTTCGAGACAAATAGATGGTTTGATCGTTTTTCTTTGCTATCAGGTTTTGGAAGCTTTAAAGTCTGTTCACTGTCACAGCTGTCGTGAATCCTGGTTGCAATGGTGTAGCAGATCAGCTTTAGACTATTGAACTCCAAGGGTGGCTTAAACTACAATAAGATGAGATACAGCCTCCATTGATGTGGTACCTCTGTATGTGAGCTGCTCCTTGTTCTATGCAGCTTTGGCTCCCTGCTCCATAGGCAGCTCTACATTCCTAAAGGTGTGTGCTGGAACCTGAATGTTTGAAAAGGGAAAGTGGAAGTCTTCTGTCTGAGGAGAGTCTGTCTTCATAGAAGGGAGGAGTAATCAGTGCAAGTTTGGTAACAATCCTGGAGCTTCTCCAGCACACTTTCTGGTAGTCCCTGTGGAGCCATCAATCCTGGAGCTCTCCAGCACATTTTCTGGTAGTCCCTGTGGAGCCTCTCTTGGTTAAATATCTTGAATGATACACAAAACTGGCTTGCTCTGAACTTAAACTATGAGCCTGATAGTGAAGAGGCTGCTGATGGAAAGGGTGACTATACATATGGACTGATGTGCTTAGTAATTAAAAATAATCTTTATTATAACTTAAATGTGATAGGAAATATGGTGAGTACAAATGCCACAAAACTAAAAGAAAAAAATTTAAAAAAAAGAAGCAGATAAAAAAGGACACCTTGAAAGAATTCAACTGATGGGACAGGTGTAGTATAAAAACCATAACATGGCTATTTCACCTTCTGCAAAAAGAGTTTATATCCTTCAGTAAACAAGTAAGCATTTTGCACTGTACAAAATGTACTTCTTTAATTAAAGGAAGAATATATATATTTATAAATATACAGATATGTACATTCTTGTAACATTCACAGTAAAAAAACCAAAACAAATTACCCCTGCCTGCCAAAGTGTTTGGCTCACAAGGTTTCCTCTTGATGTGAACTGTTTGCAATATTTTCTATGTCGTCTATGCAAATTTGGATACTTCAATTGACATCTAAATAGCATTTCATGCATAATGAACACAGTACAGGAACACTCTTTTGTTAAATTCTGTTCACCTTCTCTGTTAACTTAAGGCTTGTAATCAACAGTTTGAAGCACTTGCTGTCTTTCAATCTTGCAGTGCAGGGTGGGGAGGTGCATTCACTTCCCCCTCTGTTTATTACTGCCTCCGAGGTCCACTTGAGTTTGTTCTGTTCTTTATATTGAAATCACTCTATAGAAACTATGCTCCTCTAATTAGAATGTACGAAATCCAATCCTGCCTGCAACTTGCAGGACAAAATGGTTTTGGGGACTCGTGCAATTAGTGGTATTCACTCCTTCTTTTCAGAATAAATAAATGCACTTTACCTTTTCATTTAGTTTTCACAAACCCACATGATTGTTTGATCCCCCTCAGAAATTGCTGGATTAATGATGGTTTGCTGCTGGAGGGCAAGAGAAGGGAATAAAAGACCAGTGGAGGCATTTAGAATGAGTCACCAAAGTGACGCCTCCCTGGGTTTACATCATGCTGTTTCTTGAGGCAAAACTTGTAGAACTTTCCCTGTATTTCATTTCCAAGACACAACTGGGAAAGCTGAGCAGCATTTCATGCCACTGGAGTGTGGCTGGGGACACTGCATGGCAACAGACACTTCATTTGGGATTCAAGGGAAAACTTTGCATGCCTGCTCAGGTGGCCTCCTGATTGTCCTTGTTAGATACAGTATCACACATCTCAAGCTTTCACAACAACTTCAAGAAAGTAAATATAATAGGAAAATATATGGAGATGCCAAATTCTAAAAACCTCACAGAAGTCTGTTCAAGCTGAATAACTGCAATTAAATTATTTGTTCAGAATCAGTCAAGAAAGTATTGTTCCTCAGCATCCAACTGTTCCATCATGAGCTGCAACAAGGAGCCAATAGGAATCCTTAAGCTGGATTTGAGATTTTGCTTTTCTTGAAGAAGTCTGTAAATTGCTACATTTTGTAACATTCTCATAGAATTCTTTAAAGTCTTCCTTTTGTTCCCCACACTGAAGTGCAGCTCCATCCTACTTTAATGCCTGTTAAATAGTAGCAGGTTCTTTTTCATCTAAAAAGCTGTGGCAGCTTCAGTTCCACGGCGGCTTCCAACTTT